ACCCCTGCGGTCGAAGAACTACTACGCGAGCAAGCAGAGGTTTTGGAGGATATCCGGCGCAATCTTACCAAAGTGCAACAGCGCATGTGCGAGCGTGCTAACTTACATCGCCGCGACGTTACTTTTGAGGTGGGCGATCATGTCCTCCTTAAGCTCCAGCAGTTTCATCAGCACTCTCTAGCTCGTCCACGCTCGGCCAAGCTTGCTCGCCGCTACTATGGCCCGTTCGAGGTGATCGAGCGCGTCGGGCCGGTAGCATATCGCCTCCGCCTTCTTGAGGGTTGCCGCATTCATGACGTCTTCCACGTCTCATTACTACGGCCATTTCACTCTGGCCAACAGCCGCTGCCTACCCCCTCTCTTTTGGCGGCTATTTCACGAGGATGGGAAGTGGCGGTGCCAATTTCCAGCGAGCAGCATCGCACGGTGCTTGTCAATGGCCAACCGCAGGAGCAATGCCTCGTCCCTTGGTCCGATGATGACGATGCAGTGACTACTTGGGAACCCATAGGACACCTTCGACAGCATTTTCCAACTCTCGACCTTGCGGACAAGGCCGTTCTCATCCCTGGGGGAGTTGATACGGGTCCAAAATTAGACGAGGAGTTGTCAGATACGTCCCATGACGTTACTAGCCCTACACATGAAGCCCATGCGGAGTATGGGAATGATCGAGAAGATGCCCTAGGAGCGGGACGACCAAAACGGACTATGCGACGACCTTGACGTTACGACGATTACGTTTAATATTTTTCTTATGTTCCTTTTATATTTGTAAACTAGATTTTGTTAAGTGGACGAATTATAAGTCCCTTCAAGGGTTTTCTTTTCGGTTCTTTCCCTTGACGCTTTTCTTGAACCGACAGGATTAGGATTAGGGTTTCTCTATTATATAAAGAGAAGACCCCTTACTTTCTCAAGCAAGCAATAATACAAAATTTTAGTTTAGTAGAATCTCTTCTTCTCTCCTTTTGCACGTACAAAACTCCCAGGGACAACCCAACGTTGCCGCCAAGGGTTTCTTGTTCCTTTACCGCCAAGTCTCCTTATCAAAGGTGCTGCTCTGGTGGCCCATGATGACAGAAGAAGGTAGAGAATGGGAGTGTGGAAGCATCAAATGATAATGTTTCATTAATAGATGATAGTGTGATTATGATTGACAATGATAATTTGGATTCCTATTTAAGTTTGGAAATACTAGCACAATTATTTTGATATTTTCATATTCATTACTTAAATTAGTTGTGCTCCTATGGTTCTAAGGTTCACATATAAGATATAGACAACTCTCGTACATTTTTCCTGGGTTGTAGGCAATTCTTTCACTTTTGCAAAAGACCAAGGCAAATAATTTTATTGTGCCAATGTAATACAATGCATAAAATGAGTATGGACCCAAGGACTAAATTTTCCTTATTGATATACTTCTATTTTGGGAGTTCTCCCTTGAATTACAGTCCATCTTTGTCTAGACATAAAGTCCGGGCAAAAATTTTTTTGTGTGATTTTTATGTTTCATGCATATGCCTTCTAAGGTCTCATTCACGTTAACATATTTTTTTTCTTATTACCTATTCTTTTTGAAATCAGATCACATCCATTTCAATGTGATCAGATTGATTCATAAGAAATCCCATTCAATAGCACTAAAAAAAGGATAAATGCCCAAAATAGGAGTGTGTTATCTTTTTTCTCTCCGTAGGACTTAAATTTAACTTCATGCCTAATTTACCCTCTCCATTGCCAATCTTGAAATTAAAACCACTTTTGGAAAAATAGTCAATTGGTCACACAGAAACACCTCTCTCTCTCTACACTGACATATTTCCTCTCACCCATTACATCATTTATCTACTAATAGAAGACATGCGCCGCTGCATGATTTTTGCATGCACCCTCCAGGAAGAATTTTTTCCACACAGTGGGTGAGCTCCCTAGAATTCTCTATTTCGATTGGTTTCTCCATCAAAATATCATCTACGATCGACGGTTTCCATGGCTGAGCATGCATACATCCTTTTCGTAGCAGAAGGCTCCAATTAGAGTAGTTCGTTGTGCGTATTACTTTTGATGTTCTTTATTAGACCAGAGTTGATTGTTAGATCAGAGTTGTGGCCTCGATTTTCATTGTACTTTTATATATCTAAATTCATTCATGGAAACAAAAATTGTGCCGCGTGTTGATTCGAAGAAATTTAGTGCGTGCGACAATGGTAGTGCCTTTAGATCTTTCTTCAAAGTGATGAATCCACCACCGTGGAAGTAGACGATTAGGGGGAGCTGGGAGTTAGCAGTGATGAATCAGATCTCAATTTTGCCATTGTGGCAGATGGTGGTAGTGTTGCGGCGGAGGAGGTGGTGTAATGGCAGTGTAGTGGTAGAGGGATGGATTATGGCAGTGTGGCGGTGGTGGTGATGATGATGGTAGTGGTGGCAATGGTAGTGTGGCGGTGAAGACGTCAATGTGGTAGCAGAAGATGGAAGTGTGGCAGCAATGATGATGTTGACGATGAAAGTATTGCAGCGGCGGGGATGGTGATGATGGAAGTGTAGCGAGGGTGATGGTGATAATGCGAGTGTGGCGGTAGAGGTGGCAGTGTGGCGCTAGTGGTGGCAGCGGTGTGGGTGCTAATGATGACAGTGAGGTCGTGAAGAGAGATAGTGTGGCGATGGTAGTGGCGGGGGGAGGTAGTGTGGCGGAAAAGGGAGGCAATGTGGCAGCAGAGGAATGTAGTGTGGTAACCAAAATATAATCAGTATATTCTTAAGAAATAAGAAAAAGGGTATAATGGGGATATTAAATAGATGCCACACTGGATACTCCTATTTATGTCAAATACACCAAAGGAGTGCTAGATAGATAATTTTCCTTACTTTATAGTTTTACCTAGGGAAATCTCCCATGATTCATATCATATTTATTCAGATCAGATCCATTCAGATCAGATGTGATCAATTCAAATCAAATCATCCAAGAAAAGTATCGAAATGTAGATAGTGTTATAATAATAGTAATAATAATAGTAGTAGTAGTAATAATAATAATAATAATAATAATAATAATAATAATAATAATAATAATGTTAATGGTAACAATAATAATAAGAGTAAACTCCATAATTGGTCCTTTATAACAGGAAATTTTACATATTCAGTCCTCTATCATCAAGTATTACCATCTTGGTCCTTCTTTTATGGCTACATTTCCACAAATAGTCTTTTTTCGACATTTTATCATGTTGGTGTTAATTTGAGGGTTACAAGTGTAATTTGACATAAACCCATATCCAGCGACAAATTTTGGTGTCGGTTAGAGAGAGTACACAACAATAATGAGTATGATTGTGAACTAAGATTCTAAGAAAAGATCACATATGTAGAATATAGTTGTAATAGAAAGCGACTGTGGTTGACAAACGATTAACCAAAAGCAGCCTCTGAATTATATATGGCAAGAAATATATATGATCATTGTAAAATTACACTTTTAGGCCTCAAACTAACACGAACATGATAGAAAATAAAAAAGGTAGGGTGAGCAAGAACCGAACCGATCCTGATATTTCCCGAAAAAATCGAGAATACCGAACCGAAAAATACCAAACCGATAAAGTACCGAAAAGAAACCGAACCGTACCGAACCGAACGGTCGGTCCGGTATTTGGGAACGGTATGAGGTTACTTCCCATACCGAAATTCCCGAACCGAACATATATACTAATATATTATAAAAATAATAATCCTTTTATATTTCTTCATTAAATAAAAAATTTATATAGAGAATTTAGTTTAGTTTCATTATGTTTAAGTTGCACTTTAGTAAAAGTTTTTTATTTTTTGTAGATGAGCATAAGAATATTAACAAATATTTGAAAAAAATACTTTGTTATCACTCGTTCTCTTTAGTTTGTGAAATACAAACTAACTTTCATAAGCATTTCTTGCATTTTATTTTTTCATTTTTAAATTTTTTATCTTTCTTGGGATAAATGTACTTTTGATTTTTCAAAAATAAAAGGTTTTGTTACATTTTATGATGTAAACTAGGTACGTGTATATTCATCCTGGTTCGTACCGAAACCGATCCCGAACCATATCGATGATTCGGGATCAGTACAACGTAAAATCCCATACCGAACCGAAATATTTGGTACGGTATCGGTACAAGCTAAATACCATACCATACCGTACCACGCTCACCCCTAAAAAAGGACTGTTTGTGAAATGATACCCATAAAAGAAGATCACGAGAGTAATATTGGATACTAGAAGACTAAATAGGGAAAACCCCATGTTATAAAGGATCAATTATGGAATTTACTCTAATAATAAAAGTAATTTTAATAATAAATGATAACTTGAATTTTAATTAAAGTACATTCATTCTAATCAAACTTTATCATTCAGATAAGATCAGATCCATTCAAACAAGAATAGATCAGATTAGACTAAATACATTTTTATAAGATAAGATCACATCAAGTCCATTAAGATCCGACCGGCCTTTAAAACTTCATGTCTGAATTAATAATTTGGGTCAAAGGGAAAAGAGCCTTAGTGTTGGATAATGTTTTTTACTCCCTCCGTCCCTAAATAAACTTCCCCTTTCGTTTTTTCTTTGTCCCTAAATAAACTTTTCTTTTCCCTTAAAAAACCCCTTTTACCCCTTACTTTTTCATACCCTACCTATCACATCATACCTTTTTACTAATAATCTACATATCACATCTTACTTTTACACTTAACATCAAGGGTATTTTTGGAAAGTCAACACAAAAATATCCCTCCCTTAAATCCTAAAAAAGTCAAAAAAGAAAGTTTATTTAGGGACGGAGGGAGTAAATAATAAAGCATAATGTGCGTTCAAGCAATTCCAAATTATTCTGTCACATAACATACTCACACACATAAAATGTTGCAAAACAACAAAAATGACTTGAAGTCTGAAAACGTTCATCAAGATCAAACTAAACTAGTTAAAACGTTCAGTTGCATTGTAACTTAAAAGCCTATATTTATTAATGTATATGACTCACAATCACATTACCTATAATATCTCAAGAGAAAGATGAAATGCTTCGTATACGTTAAATTTTAATAGCCAACTTAGTTAACTCGAATGCTAGTCTCAAAAATAAGCCCAGCCTTCCATTCTGTGGGAATAACTGCCTTCTCGGTCTCTACCCATTTGGCATCAAACTCTCTGCTCACTAGAAACCTCAACTTTAGCTCTCCACTTGGCGGGTTAGGTAAGTCCCATACTGCACCATATACTCGCCGCATCGATATCCACTGGTATTTGTCCTCCTACAAGCAGACATTTATGATTATTATTAATTATATATGGTGAGATATACATATAATATTTACATATAGGTGTGACTGTTTAGATTGCCTTTGTTTAATTTTTACTTTTTGAGAAAGTAAATATTCCCTATTTAGATTTAATTGTCTTCTTAAAAAAAACTTATTTAAAGAGTGTTTTTATCATGGATCTTTTTTCCTTAATGGAGTCTCAATTCCTGCCACCTTAATTTTTTACAATTGTCACAATTAAGGTGCATCTATTTACTCCATCCATTAAATTATTAAAAATAAGGCTTCGATTAGGTATGTCCTCCAACACTTTATGCAATTGGCCTATTGACAATAGTGTCTCACATCATATGGCGAGTACTCTTATGCATTTGTTTACTGTTAAATCAAAAGGCCTTGGGTTATTAGTTAATCCAATATGCATGGGTAATGGAAGATTAGTGTGGAAGTATTCACTTGTCTTGTAAATTGGTTCTTACATGAGTGATTTTCTTTCCCAATCTCTATATTCTATTTGTACATATACAAGTGCGCATTACTTTTTAACCTTCATTGAAAATAATTTTTGTGCGGTTTTGGTGTACCTCATCAAAGATAAATCCGAAGTTACTAATTTGGTTTTTTACCATGATACGATCATCAAAGTTGTTCAATTTGCTCAGATAATGACACTAAAATTCTAAATCACCTATTACGTCAACTTTATCAAGAAATGGGCATATGTAGATAGGGAAAATAGATAAAGAACCAATTATCCATACTAAATAACATGAAACTGAATTTGAAATGACCTAGAAACTAAAGACTCGATCTATAATTGAAAATTGAAATATTCAAACCAAACAAAAACTAAACTAAATATTTTCAAACCCAAATTAGAACTAAAAGCGATTAGATCTAAAGTGATCAAACTCAAAACTAATTATAACTGACATTGATGAGATCTAAAAGCGATGAGACTAAAAACCAATCAGAACCAAATTTATTTAAAACCAAATCTGATCCATACGTTGTATATGGTTAACGAATCATACAACACATACATGTATTTTTCACCCACCATGTTACCTCAAGGACTATATTTGTCAATCCACCTAGTTTGTCTCTCCGATTACTCCATCTCTATGTTCATCTTTGTCCTTATTGTTAGTTTTGTTGTATGTCTTCACTCATTGTTGTGTATTTAGGTTTTTGGAACTTCCATTTGCATTCTTTTTAATAAACAAATAGGTATTATTTGTTTAGTTTTTATCCATTTGTGTTAAGTAAAGATGTAGCATCTCGGTCGTCATCGTGTTTCTATGACTAATTTTATGCCATTTTGCTTCTTTATTACTTTGACACGGTACTAATGCATATAATGTTCTTGTTGCACGATGATATTAGTTGGACAAAATTTATTTATTATGAAGAGTGGAAATAAAAGAAGTTCTATAATTGTTGAATTCATTTAATGAATCAACGTAAGCCTTAAGGTGTTTGGCCAAGGTTGGGGTTGTGTGTTGAAGACTCTTGATGCAATGAAGACTGCTTAATGAACTCTACTAGGGTTTATTGTTTCCCTATGTATGTAGCATTATGCCTCTGAAGAAAGTTTGAAACATACAAGAGCTTTTGTGAGGTTGCACATCAACGAGAGTTCATCCTTTTCATACATAGAGAGAGATCACATCATATTTGAGTATCTTACCATGATGAAGAGAAGCTTTGTTTTACACTCAAACTCAATAGCTTTATGGGTGACGTAAACACAACCTATGTTGTTTATATTCACAATGCGATCCAGACGTTGAGTACACTACAGTCTAGGAAAGGGTTGCGAGCACGTCCTTGGAGAAGGTCTCGAAAAAGAAGTAACAAGCCTTTTAAGAGGACTTAAACATGATTAGGGTTAGAAGGGATATTAAACATTAGAATAGATGTTCCATTGTTTGTAACGAGTGCAATCTTAACTTGGTTTAGTGAAGGGATATTACTTGCGTGTGGGGCTTATATAGTAGGAGGATTTCTCCTAACTGTGTAACCAATCTCTCTATGTCATTTGTTTCTTTATTTACTTTTCTGTGTGATTGTTTAGTATTATGAAGATGTTGTAGCACTTTTTTTATCTATCTGATCTAAAACATCATCACATACTCTATGGTTTATTTTAATCTACTTGCTGGCTCTATTTTAAAATATGGGTATTTTTTCAACCCACCAAATATTGTATGGTGATAATCAAGTATGCTCTGTACATTTTTCATCAAGCAAGTTTGTTGGTTGTAAGCATGTGAATACTTCTACTCAACCAAATCATGGTCACTCTCGCTCTAGTATTTCTAAGTTAAAGAACCGTGCTTGTTATCGATGTTATGTTGGAATCTTATTCTTCTTGACCATAACCAGTGAAGATACTTCTTACGGCGCGGTGTGGATGTTCTCTCATAGTTCATTCATGCTCCTTGCATTGACCATTTCAACGCTGCCATGCATGTTTTCAAGGATTTGAAATGCCATTATGGTCAGAGAGTTCTCTACATTGTGATAGTAAAATTTGGTTGTCAGCATACTTTGAATCTGGGTTGGCTAGTTGTCTGGTCACTTGACGTTCTGTTAATGGCCCGTTTATTTTATTGGGCGCATTCCCAATATTTTGGAAGGCAAAGAAGAAAACTACCAATTGTAGGTCATCCGCTTAAGCCGAGTTTCCAAAAAATGCCCAACACGTGTTTTGATATATGTTGGTTGAAGGGTTTACTCTCCATCCATAGGGTGCCTCTTGTTCACCCACCTGAATTCTATTGTGATAATCATCCTTGTTTATGGTAAGCAACCATGTGTTTCAAGAGAGATCAAAATATATTGATATCATCTACCATATCATTCGTGACTGTGTTCTGCACTAGGAGGTCTGTACAACATATGTGAAGAATTTCGTATATTCAATGATCAAGAGGTGTTCACAAGAGGTGAATATATAACGTGGATTCCCGGGGCTATACATGGTAGGAATCGTACTACATAAATACAACATTCACAAAAGAAAGCTCGATCATATTATAATATGGAAACTAAATCATAGTATTAGCAATATTATATTAAATATAGTAATTATATTTAACATGCTCCGTGTGGTCTGGGAGATGAGGAGTGTATGCCAAGATTGTCTCGGAAATCCATAAATAAGAGAGAGGGAAGCCCTTTTGTGAAGATATATTCAAATTGGGACGAGGATGGGACATGTAAGACGCGAACCTGTCCAAGGGTCACTTTGTCTCCGTATCTAGCTAGACTCTGCCACTGCATTTGCCACAACATGGTACTCAGCTTCGGGGCTAGAACGAGAAGTGGTGGCGTGGAACTTAGAGGACTAGGAGACTAAGTTATCCCCAAAGAAAACACAATACCCGAATGTAGACTTCCTGGTGTCTGGACACCCGGCCCAATTGGCATCCCAGTATGCCTGTCTGGATAGTATGCCCAATTGGTGTCTGGACAGTCCCAGATTTAGTAAGAGTGATCCCATGGGTGGGTGTGTCGTGAAGATAGCGAAGAGCCCGTTTTAAAGCTATAAGATGGCCGAATCTGGGATCATGAAGATAGAGGCAGAGTTGTTGCACCGCATATGTGATGTCTGGGCGATTGAAGGTCAGATACTGTAGGGCCCCAACCAAAGAGTGATAGAGGGCATGATCTGCTAATGGTGTACCTGCATATGCACTCAACTTGCCTTTTGTATCGACTAGTGAGGAAATAGGCTTGCAGTTTGTCATTCCTGCGCGTTCAAGTATCACATGAGTGAATTGTGTCTGATGGAGAAAGAGACATCGAGCAGTACGCTAAACATTCACTCCGAGAAAGAAATGCAGGTTCCCCATGTCTGACATAGAAAATTCCCCTTTGAGCTTTTGAATGAGTCGGTCAAGTAATGTTGTGCTGGATGTCGTGAGAACAATATCATCGACATAGAGCAGAAGGTATGCCACGTCCGAGCCCTAATGATACATGAAGAGAGAAGTATCTACCTTGAAACCACGAACAACCCAACAGGCCTTGTACATGGAAAGTTCACCCGTGGGACCAAGTTTGTGATGGAAAAGCCATTTACTAGAGATAACATTTTGACTAGGGTGGGGAGGCACTAATTCCCATGTTTTGTTATTTATCAAAGCATTGTATTCTTCACACATAGCGGCATTCTAGTTAGGATCCTCACATCCACTACGGTAGGTACGGGAGTGGGGATATTGCGGTTGTGGTTTTTAGGTTGAGAATTTGTTTAGGGCGGGAGATTCCAGCTTTGGCTCGAGTGATCACGGGGTGATTATTGTGGATGGGGTTTTGGGAGGGGGGTGAGGAGTTCCTAGGGGTGTTAGGAGTGGACAGGGGCGTGGGGATCATGGGAGTGTGATGGGGAATGAGAGTGGTGGAGGCCGAGGGTGGAGTGGGGGCTGTGGGAGTTATTGGAGGGTGGGGAAAGAGTGTTTCTGTGGTGAGCGGGTAGTGGTTTGGGGGGAGTATGTAAGTAATGATGGTGTGAGGGTAGGCCGTCCTCCGTAGAGTCTAAAAAAGAGTGTTCTGTGTGAGAGAGGGCATGGGGGTAAGGAAAGACAGATTCATCGAAGGTGACATGTTAAGAGATGATGATTTTGTTTGTGGTGATATCGAGACAACGAAACCCACACTGGTAGATGGGGTACCCGAGGAAGATGCAACGAGATGAGCGGGGTGCAAGTTTATGAAGGGCAGTGGCAGAGAGTTTTGGGTAATAGAGGCACCCATAAACTTGAAGGTGAGAGTAGGATGGGGAGTTGTTATACAGAATTGCATGGGGGGTTTTGTTGCATAAAGTGGTGGTGGGGAGGAGATTGAATATGTGGGCCGTCATGTTTCGGGCTTCGACCCAAAATTGTGGTGGTAAGTGGGCTTGAATTGGAAAACTAAGGTGCGGACAGTGTTGTTTATAGTACGAATAGTGCGTTTGGCCCGTCCATTTTGTTGACTTGTGTGGGGGCTCAAAAATGGAAGAGAATTCCTCTAGAATAGAGAAAGTCAGCTAGGGGGAGATATTTTTGTATTCTGTACCGCTATCACATTGAATAACATGGGAAGTAGTGTAAAATTGTGTCTATACGTAAATTAAGAATTTTGTGAGGACAAAAAAAACATCAGATTTATGCCGAAGGGGAAAAACCCATAAATAATGAGAGTAATCATCTAAGAGTAGCATGTAAAATTTAAAGTCGGTAACACTAAGAAGTGGGGATTGCCATAAGTTCGTATATAATAACTGAAATGGGAAATGAGAAACATGAGAAGATGATGAAAAGGGGAGACCAACATGTTTCCCTGACTGACAAGCATGACATAAGGTAGGCATTGTTTTATTAAAATGAGAAAACTAGGGGTGGGGTACTCCACGGAGAACAGCTGGGCTAGGGTGTCCAAGACGGCGGTGCCATAGTTTGAAGTCACTAGTGGAGATATGGGCTTGAGCTGGGCCAAGTTGCAAGGGATAAAGAAGGCCATCATTATTGTACCGATGAATCACGCAACCCGTCCGAAGGTCCTTCACAAAAAAAGCCCGATCATATATAGTAATTATATTTAACAATATGTTCCTACACACCTTTAGATTGTCGATGTCTGTTCTAACACCTTATATACTCTTAAACTTTTATTTTTATTGTCTAATTTTGGAATTCGTGATGTTCATCAGCCAACATGAGGGAGAATGTTAGTAGGTTAGTTATAGTTTGATCGATATTGTTTGTATACGAGCCATAGTCAGGGTTATCATGTAACTTGTATCTATCCTACTCTTATGCACAATCAAAATAGTTTAATTTCTCTAAATTTCTACATATTTAAACGCTTTTAATGAAACATTGCTGTCCCCCACCTCTAAGTTTCAATCCTCCCTCCACCACTAATGTACTCAATAAATTATGTCTAATGTGAAAAGGTCCATGTTTCTAGTATGAAACTTAGGTGTGACCATAATTATTCATGTTTAAAAATCACTTTTAGAATGTGAAGTACTTGGACTAGTCACTAATTAATGTTAACAACACATGTATTGTATCTTTGAGGTATACTCGTATTAGATGATTTATTGTTATTTCTTTATAAGAGCCCGTTTGGCGAGTTTTAATTTAGACATATGATAAGATATGAGTTTTAAAATCTAGAAGAAATGATATGGGGTTTGAAAACTAAATTAAAAGTGTTTCTAGAGGCGAAAAAGGAAGAAAGGACTTTCATATTAAGGATGAGGTTTTCTTTCCTTCACACCAAAAACACTCTTGGCCGCTGAAAAATAAACCCATTTAGGCGGCTGAAAACATAGGGACACTAGCGGCATCGTTGCGCTGGAGATTGAGTCGCCTTTGCTGCCGGCATTGAAGACTGAGCCCCTTCCACTGCCACTGTTTGAGACTAAGCCTCCGCCGCTGGACACTTATCCGCCGCTACTAGTACTCATTGATTTGTTGCCACGCTACTAGAGCTCTAGATCTCAGATTTTGTTGTAGAGATTTCTTTGTAGTCTTGCATTTGTTGTGTTTGATAAAAGTGAAGCGTAAGTCAAGTTGCTTCAATCGGTAATTTTAAGGAGATATTATAAATCTCTACATGAGGAGAAATTCCATATCTCCCGATTTCGATTTGAAATTCTCTTTTTCTTCACCAAACAATTTTTTTAGAGCTTCATATCTTAGATATTAAATCACATATTTGTTTACTCACCAAAAGGGCCCTTAAATTTAGAAAGTGGACAACTAATTTCAAATAGATGAAAAAGAAAGTAAATAATTAAATCAGGACGAAAGAAGTATATACAATTTTGAAATCTAAATAAAAAAGTGCAGATGGATGTGTTTCATCTTCTCATTTCGTATCTCTATCAAAAGTTGAAAATCATGTATTAAAAGTGCTTACACACAATCATATATTTCTAAATTGTTTTTATCTAAAATTTGTTAGTTCCATAGTTATCCTCCCTATGTATTGTTTAGTTGAGTTGTTGTCACTCTTGTTGGAATTATTTTTTGACAAACATGTAGATGTTAGATATTGTCTAGCCATTTTGAGCTTAAATAGAGTTGTACCATCCTGCCAAAATCACGCTGCTGCAGACTATGCTGTGTCACTTGCTATGTCACCTCAAGTAGTGACTAAGTCCTTGCATTCGGAGTTAAGGCCGTGTCGTTAGAAGTCTAGTTGGCGATTTCACTTTGGCATGCCATATATCTTTAAAAGGAGTCCTAAAGTGTTTTGGAGAGCTTTCATGAAGATCTTTTTTCCATAGCAAGGGTTCGTCATTTTGGAAGTTTCCAAAACATTTTTATTTCAGTATTCATGAGGAGCAAAAGTCAGATGGGTCAAATGGATTCCTTATTGAACTCTCATAGGATTTTTCCTTACCTTATATATTCTCTACGCCTCTCTCCATTCAAGGTGGTGAAAAAATTAGAAGAGCTTAATATACATGAGAGAATATGAGAGGCTGTTTGAGAGAGTTCATTGCTTACATGAAGATCACACAATCATCACAATATCTTGTGTGAGGGTTTTAGAAGCCCGGTTTTAATCTTTCATAAACCTTGAAGCTGTTATGCAGACATACATCATGTGTGTTCAATAAAGATTTTCTAGAAGTTGAACTTTACTTTTCTAGAGATTGGGTTGCTAACACGTCCCTGAGGAAGTTTTGAAGAGGTAACCAGTCAAGGAATTTGGTGCAAACCAAGTTTGTCACCATAGTCATCGTAAGTTGATAAAGTAATAGCGTACATAGATCAAGCCTACATTGTGATTGAAGGTGTAATCATTACAATGATTTAGTGGAAAGGCTGCTACACGGAAGTGGGCCCTGCAGATGTAGGAGAGTTTCTCCAAACTGCGTAAACATATTGTTGTATCGTTTTACTACTTTGTTTTCATTTTTTTGCGACACGAAAGGTGTTGCAGCATCTCGTTGTAACTAGTGATGTAGCATCTGTGTGGCACACTTGGTCATTTGGCTTGTTGTATGGATCTGTCTCCTCTTGGTGTGTAGATATCCCCCACGAAATTTCAAAATTTTAAAATAAAACGAATAGAAAAGAAAGAAATAATGGAAAACAAGATTTTGGGGGTATGAACCCTAAAAAAGAGAAAGAAGAAGAAGAATAGAAAGGGACTAACCTCGTAGACCTCAATAGCGAGAATGTCACTAGCACCACCTTGGTTGGTCGGAACAATAAGGGATAGGTAGTGAGGGTATTGGCTGTTTTCGTGGATCTTCACTGTCAGGTTTCTAGCGACGCCGCCACAGGAAACCCTCTGGTATTCAATGTCGACAAAACCTTTGGATGTCAAAATGTCTGTCATCCTCGGCAGCCTAGCGAGTCTCTCAAAGGTGCGGTAGCTGACGACGAAGTCTACGTCATCGTGCCCTTCTGCATAGTCAGTAACCATTACATTCTCTCCTTCTTGACTGCACAATCCCTTGCTCTTGCACCTTACCTGAATTTAATTCGAACACATTTACCAAGTATTCCCTCCCTTCACAACTAGATTGATCATAACGATTTAGATTTTAAAAAATAAAACTTGCGGGGCATTTATATCAAAACAATATCTCTCCCTCCCAAAATCGTTTTGGGAGAACAAAGTTTTAGCCTAAACTTCAAACTATTTTCATTTCATATAAAAAAGAATATGTACTTAATTTTTCTTTTAAAAAGTTTTAGCCTTGTTAAAGTTATCCCACGTCGGAAGTTTAAGAGTAAAATAATCCGGTATATAAGCTCTTGAGTTAAACTAACTAATCGATTGGATTCAATTTTTTAATGTGGTTCATCCCAAGTGTCTTATTACCAAATCCAATTGTCCATACCTATCCCAATTTCTATCATGGTATCGGAGCAGGTTTTGGCCCACCTCGTTTGTCAAGGTGTCCGTCTAGGCGTTCATTCCTAGCGGCCCATTTGTCTTTAGCCCAGTTGTCCGTATGGAGTATCTACTCAATGGCCTGTGGCCCGTTTAACACGATTGCTCGTCTGGAAGTCCATACCCAGCGGCTCGTGGTCCTTTAGGTGTTGGCGCTCAAAAAAAATCAAGGGAATGGGAGTTCATTTGCAAGTGGTCAACCGGTTAGATTCAAAATGACCTGGTTGTCCACTTGAAGGGGAGTGTTAAAGTTCATCCCACATCGGAAGTTCAAGAGTAAAATAATCCAGTATATAAGCTCTTGAGTTAAACTAACTAATCGATTGGATTCAATCTTTTAATGTGGTTCATCCGAAGTGTCTTATTACCCAATCCAGTTGTCCATACCTATCTCAATTTCTATCAAGCCTTACACTTTTAAACTTAAAACATTTTTCTTATACATTCTGAAATCAAATAAATGAACTCTTTGTGGGACGAAAAGAGTACAACGTTTAGTTTTTACGATACACCTCTTCTTAAAGATATTTTTTAACTAAAAAAATCCAAAACTTGAACCACAAAAAACAAAAATGATCAACCAATGATTCACATCTTGTGTAGGTAAGACTCCTTTAATTAATTAAGGTTTGGGGGTATCGTGGTTTGGTCAAAGCAAAAATAGCACCTCCTTAATTTACTTTAAAGTGAATATAGGAAAAGCAAAAAGGGTCGGAGGGAGTGATGGGGGGTGTGAGAGTAACAAGTTTGTTACTTCTAGTCCATACCATCTTTAATTAATTTAAATCTGAATCCATAATCATGTTTGTTTGATATAATTAATTAAGGGGTAGCAATTTGAGCAATTTATGCAAATGAGACTTAAACATAAGACACAGGGGCGGCTCAAGGGAGGGGCAAGGTGGGCACTTGGCCAGGGCCCATTTCTGAATGGGCCCAATTTTTAGTATGCATACATGTATATATTTATTTATATAAAAAAATCCTAATTTATTTTTAAAAATACAGTCCTAAATCAGTAAATCTAATAAACCCTAAATCAGTAAATCTAATAAACTATGGTGATCAACCTATTTTCTCTCAAGAATAATACTCCCTCCGTCCCATTTTATAACACCTGTTTCGGTTTACGATGTTTGACTGAAATTATTTTCAAATCATTTTATATGACAAATGGTATATAATTAAAAAATAAAAATTACATATTAAAATACTACATCAAAAGATCTACAAAACTAGTAATGACAATAATACTTTATTTTATCAATTTGCTAACGAAAATAGAGAAAGAAAGTGAATGAAGTTTGACCATGTGAATAGTAAACAAGCATTATAATTTGGGACGGAGGGAGTTGAACAACTTCACGAGTCTTTGGTTAGGTACTAAAGTTCGGAGTATATAATTACAAAATAAGACTATGAGTTTGACATTTTATTATTACTACAATGTTAGATATTATTAAAAAAATTAATTTATAGATTTTACTTTTTTATCACACAATAGTGCATTTTCTCCGTGTCGGACAGGGCCCCTAATTCCTTGGAGACGGCCCTGATAAGACATGTCCTATTACTCTACGTTTGGCCATGGAATGTTCTAAAATTTCCTAACTTTGAGAAAAATGACATATTGCACAACTCAAGTAAAATAAGACATTGTTAAAAATATTTTGAATAGTTATCGAAATAATCAGTCATTATCCAACACTTATTGCTAATGACCATATTCGTAGAGTCATTCGTATAATCAGTTATTATCCAACATTTGTTGCTAATGAAGACATGGCCGGGTGGGGTTCCCATGACATTGGGTTCCAATGTCATGGGATGACCCGGGGGTGCTCCAGTGTCCCGTTCGTAAAATTGACGGTTCCTATCCCCCGCCCCGACCCGAACACACCCCCTACCCCCGTCAATTGCACCCCACAAGTTGATTTTGACTTTGGAGTCCGAACACACCCCCTAGTAGGGAAGTGAAGGGGGTAGGGAAGTGTGTTCGGGTCGGGACGGGGTGGGGGGTTTACCGGGGGTAGGAACCGTCAATTTTACGAACGGGGCACCGGATCACCCGCGGGTCATCCCAAGACATTGGAACTCAATGTCATGGGAACCTTGGTTTTACGAACGAGGCACCGGAGCACCCCCGGCTCATCCCATGACATTGGGTTTCGATGTCACGGGAACCTTGGTGTGAAGACATATATGGAAGATCATATGAAACTAGTATTTCTACCCGTGCCATGCACGGGTTCGGACGGAATTTTTTTCGATTCTATAATGTGGATCTTGATTTAAATTTAACATATTATTTAAAGGTCAAATATAAATGATCTATGTTTAATGTATTTTTACACATTTATAATTTTTATCGCAGTATAAATTCGAAAATATATTAATACAAAAGTATTAGTGATCCAATGATTTTTTTTCCTCACATTAATTTAAAAAAACTAAATTACCGAACTTATAATTATATACTTTCTCTGTCCCTGAGTATTTGTCAACTTTTAATTTTTTTTTGTCAAAATTGGTAAATTTTGACCTCAAATTAAATAAAAACGGTATTAGATATTAATACAAAATTAGTTTTATTAGATTTATTATATCATCCATTTTCAAAATATTTTTTATATACTTAATACATAATATATATTTTATTTAATTCTAAGTCAAATATTGAAAACAATTAGTCGGAAAAGTCAAAACTGGACAAATACTCAGGGACGGAAATAGTAATTAAAAAATAGGATTCTTCTCTTTCATAATCCTTATCTACCCCCCCCCCCCCCCACCCCACCCCCACAATGATTATAAAAAGTTATTATTCATTCTTGCATTATTAAAAAACAAAATCTTAAATTAGTGATCGTAAATCTCTATGATTAAAAATTTAATTTTAAAATATTAAGAACCAATTATTCTTCTCCCCCACATTTATTTTAAAAAACATTAAAATCTTAGTGCTCTAATAATTTTGTCGGGATAGTATTCTGGTCAAGATATAAAATGTTCTATCAAAATACAAATAGTTACAAATGAGAAATTGTATTTTCTTTATTGTGGTTGTAACCTGTAACTAAATCTCGAACTTATTAGCTACTGCACTTTGGATTTTCTGCACAATTTTTCCTAATTTTTTGATTATCCTAAATCTTCATTGTCACAAATTTTCTCACGCTCCCCTCCACACCTTGATCTTCTTTGTCACAATCTTCTCTGCATAAATCTGTGTCGTCTCATAAAATATCATCTTATGAAGTTTCCATGTACGGTTGCGTAAATGAAAATGTAGGAAGTAAGACTCTCATTCAAAATTTCTTAATTTTATTTATAAACATTTTGAATTCCAACACAATAATAATATAAGTATGTACTGAGTAAATTGTAAGTTACAATACAAGATTATTTTAATTAAAATTAGTAAACCAAGTTACCGAGATAAAGTTTAAAAGTCCTATTAAATCTTTTTTTAATTTGTTTATTTTAAAAATTCAATATTTTAAAATTGTCAAATTGCATGGAAATACTTTTATTTCATATCACAATTAGTCATCTTGCCATAAACAAAACTTTTATGTAAGATATGCATTGAGTCAATCTCATAGTAGACATATTATCCATTTGTCTAAAAATAAAGTACATAATCATGACACGTATAATTATTCCTTAAAAAATATAGTCTTAAGTCTTTTAGTCACCTAATTATAAATTATAAATTTCTTTG